ATACATTTACAGTACTGTACTTTATAAAACAAAATCTGGGGGCTCCTGGGTGGCTCAGTCAGTTAAGCGTCTGCCTTCAGCTCAGGTCATGATCTCAGGTCCTGGGAGCGAGCCCCACATTGAGCTTCTGCTCGGTGAAGAGCCTGCTTCCTCCTCTCGCTGTCTGCCACTCCCCCAGTTTGTTCTCTCTCTCTGTCAAATAAATAAATAAATAATCTTGAAAAAGAATAAACACAATCTGTATGTAGGTGGCCCTGCTCAGTTCAAACCTATGTTGTTGAAGGATCGACTCTATTTTTCTCTGATCTTTATTTTTTCCTTCTTTCTACTAACTTTGGGCTTTTTTTGGTTCTGTTAGGTGTAAGGTTAGACTGTTGGAGATTTTTCATATTGAGGTAGTCCTGTATTACTGTAAACTTCCCTCTTAAAACTGCTTGGGCTGTGTACCAAAGATTTTGAACCGTTGTGTTTCCATTTTCATTTGTCTCCATGTATGTTTGATTTCCTCTTTGATTTTGTAGTTGACCCATTGGTTGTTTAGTAGCATGTTTAGCCTCCACATGTTTGTGTTTTTCCCTTTTTTTTTTTTTGTAATTGTTTTCTAGTTTCATACCATTGTGGTCTGAAAAGATACTTGATAAATATGATTTCAGTCTTCATCAATTTATTGAGACTTGTTTTGTTGCCTAACATGTGATTTATGCTGGGGAATGTTCCATGTGCACTTGAATGTGTATTTTGCTATTTTTGGATGGAATGTATATATCTGTTAAGTCCAGCTGGTCTAGTGTGTTGTTCAAAGCCATGGTTTCCTTATTGATTTTCTCTCTGGGTGATTCATTGATGTATGTGGGCTGTTCTCTACTCTTACTGAATTACTGTTAATGCTTCCCTTTAGGTCTGTTAATACTTGCTTTATATGTTTAGGTGCCCCTCTGTTAGGTACATATATATTTATAATTGTTATATCCTGTTGTTGAATTGATCCCTTTATCATGTAATGCTCTTTTTTGTCTCTTGTTATGGTCTTTGAAGTCTGTTTTGTCTTATATCGGTATTGCTACCCTAGCCTTTTTTTTTTCTTGCTTTATGTGGAATATCTTTTTTTTTTTAAAGATTTTATTTATTTATTTGACAGAGAGAGACACAGTGAGAGAGGAAAGACAAGCAGGGAGAATGGGAGAGGGAGAAGCAGGCTTCCCGCAGAGCAGGGAGCCCGATGTGGGGCTCAATCCCAGGACCCTGAGATCATGACCTGAGCCGAAGGCAGTCGCCCAACCAACTGAGCCACCCAGGCGCTCCTGGAATATCTTTTTCTATTCCTTCACTTTCAGTTTGTATGTATCTAGGTTTGAAGTGAGTCTCTTGTAGGCAGCATATAGATAGATGGGTTTTGGGTTTTTTTATCCATTAATTCACCCTGTGTCTTTTGATTGGAGCATTTAGACCATTAACATTCAAAGTAATTATTGACAGGTGTGTACTTATTACCATTTTTGTTAATTGTTTTCTGGTTATGTTTATAGTTCTTCTCTTTTCCTTTCATCTTCTCTTGTTCTGTTCATTGTGATTTGATGACTTTCTCTAGTGTTATGCTTGGATTCCTTTCTCTTTACTTTTTCTGTTATCTATTATAGGTTTTTTGTTTATGGTTATCATGAGGTTTATATGTAACATCCTGTGTATATAGCAATCTGTCTTAAGTTGATGGCCACTCAAGTTCAAACACATTCTAAAGACACTACATTTTTACTTCCCCCACTCCACATTGTATGTATTTGATGTCATATTTTACATTTTTTTATTTTGTGCATCCCTTAGCTAACTTTTGTAGATACAATTGTTTTTACTGCTTTTGTCTTTTAACCTTCATATGAGCTTTATAAGTGTTTGATTTACTACCTTTACTTGGTTTGCTTTTACCAGTGAATTTTTTTCCTTTTATAATTTTCTTCTAGTTATGGCTTTCTCTCTTCCACCTCAAAAATTCCCTTTGACACTTCTTATAAGGCAGTTTTAGTGGTGATGTACTTTTATCTTTTGTTTCTGGGAAACTCTCTCCTTCAGTTCTGAATGATAACCTTGTGGGTTGAGTATTCTTGGTGGCAGGTATTTTCCTTTCAGTGCTTTGAATATAACATGCCACTCCTTTCTAGCCTACAGATTTTCCACTAATAAATCAGCTTATAGTGTTATGGGATTTTCTTTGTACATAACTATTTGCTTTTCTCTTGTTTTTAAAAGATTCTCTTTATTTATTTATTTGAGAGAGAGAGAGGAAAGGGAAAGAGAGAAGGTGAGGGAGAATCCCGAGCAGACTCTACGCTGAGCACAGAGCCGACATGGGGCTCAGTCTCACAACCCTGAGATCATGACCTGAGCTGACTGAAATCAAGAGGTGGATACCCAACTGACTGAGCCACCCAGGTGCCCCTAAGGAGTCTCCTTTTATTTTTAACTTTTTGACATTTTAATTATGTGTCTTGCTGTGGACCTCCTTGGGTTCGTCTTGTTTGGGGCTCTCTGAGCTTGCTGGACCTGGATGTCTTTTTCCTTCCCCAGGTTAGGGAAATTTTAGCTATTACTTTTTCAGATAAGTTTTCTGCCCCCTTCTCTCTGGGTCTTCTCCTTCTGGGCCCTCTCTAATGTGAATGTTAGTATGCTTCATACTGTCTCAGAGGTCCCTTAACCTATCCTCATTTTTAAAAAATCTTTTTCCTTTTTGCTCTTTAGCTTGGGTGCTTTCCACTACCCTGTCTTCCAGATTGCTTGATTGTTTTTCTATATTTTTTAACCTGCTCTTGATTCTCTGTAGCATATTTTTTCTTTTCTTTTTTTAAAGATTTTATTTATTTATTTGACAGAGAGAGAGAGCGAGCGAGAGCAGGAACACAAGCAGGGGGAGTGGGAGAGGGAGAAGCAGGCCCTCTGCTGAGCAGGGAGCCTGATGAGGGGCTCGATCCCAGGACCCTAGGATCATGACCTGAGCTGAAGGCAGATGCTTAACGACTGAGCCACCCAGGCGCCCCTCTCTAGCGTATTTTTCACTTCAGTTATTTTATCCTTCAGCTCCAATTGGTTCTTTTTCATATTTTCTGTCTCTTTGTTGCTGTTTTCACTTAGTTCATCCACTCTTCTCTCAAGTCTGGTGAATATCTTTATGACCATTACTCTGAAGTCCTTATCAAATAGATTGCTGATCTCCATTTCATTTAGTTCTTTTTCTGAATTTTTGTGTTATTCTTTCGTTTAGAACATACTCTTCTGTCTCCTCATTTTGTCTGAGTCTCTGTGTTTGTTTCTTTGAATTAGGTAGGTCAGCTATGTTTTCTGGTTCTGAAAGTAGTGGCCTTATGAAGAAGGCATTTTGTGATGCCCAGTAGTGCAGGCTCCCTGGTCAACAGAACCAGCCACTGTGAGAGTGTCCCCTCTGTGGGTTCATATGTCCTCCTGTTGTGTCTGGTACACTCGGGGGCGTGGCTGGCCCTCATCCCTGTTGTCAGCAATGACTGGTGTGACTGCTGCGAGCATGCTGGTGGTGCTGGTAGGTGGAATTAGTTCCCATTGTAGCTGGCTGAGAGGCTGGGCTATAGATGCTGGTGGCTCTTGGGTGCAACCGTCTCTTGGTACAGCTGGCTGAGTGGGCTGGCCAGAGTGGCTGTGGGTATGCTGCTGGATGGGGCAGGAATCCTACCCTCCTCCCAGGGCAGAAGTCACTTTGTAGGGGTGCCTGTCCCAGGCTGGGCTACCTGCCAGGCGTGGTGACACAGTAGTTGCTTTGGAGGGGCTCCTGCCGGGGCGGGCTGGCGGGCGAAGACTGAGGCAGGGCAAGCAGTGCTAGCAAGGTAGATGGAGAGCATCAGAACTGGTGTCCACCAGTGCTGGGCCAGCTAGACTGAAGGAGGGCAGGAAAAATGGTGCTGCCCACCAGCACTCCCGTCCCTGGGGAAAGTTCCAGGAGATCCCTGTGTCTCCAGCACATACCTAAAATTAGTAAATCTCCTTCATGTATAACACAGGTGTTTTTCAAACTGCTGTTTCCGTGCTGAGTCTCAGACTGAGTGTAGAGGGCGCAGAGCAAAGTCTGTTTCCTAAAGCCCCATGGCTCTCCTGGAGTCAAGCCCTGCTGATTTCCAAATCTTCCAGTTTTAAGTCCTGCTGATTTTCAAAGACAGACATAATGGAGGCTCTTCCTTTTGGTGTAGTTCCCCAGGGCTGGGGGGTGCCCAGTCTGGGTCTTGATCCCCTCACTCCTCAAAGGAGAGGACCTCCATGCCTGTGATATACCTTCTGCTTGTGGGTCACCATGGCAGGCATTTGATTCCTGGCTATGTCTCTGCCCCTTCTACTCTTCTCAATATGGCCTTTTTTTTTTTTTTTTTTTTTTGGTAATGTCATTGGCTTTGGGAGGATCTGTTCTTCCAGTGTTTAGGTAATTTTCAGAGTGCATTGCACTACATGAAGTCATTGCCTTGGTGTGTCTTGGAGGAGGTGAGCCCAGGATCCTCCTACTCTGTCATCTTCCCTGTCTCCTCTAGTTTTTTTTTTTTTTTTTAAATGTCAGTGTGGGTTGGGGATAGAAGGCCTAAACAGAGCTTCCTAGTCTGCTAACTTGCAGATGTCCCCTAAAACAGAGTATCTATTTTATAAACAGGGATATCAAAGCTCAGATAGTGACTTGTACAAGGTTACACAGTTAATAAGGATAAAGGCTGGGATTTGACTGTATTTCTTTCTCCAAGTTTTGTGATTTTTTTTTAAAATAAACTTTCTATTTTAGAATAATTTTAGATTTACCAGAAAAGTGCAAAGATAGTACAGAGAGCTCCCATATCCACCCACCCTCTGCCCTACACAGTTGTCCCTTTTATCAACATGTTAGATTAGTATGCTCTATTTGTTACAATTAATGAACCAATACTGATATATTATTCTTAACTGAAGTCTATACTTTATTCAGATTTTCTTACTTTTAACTTATATTTTTTTTTCTATTCTAGGACCCAGTCTAGGATACCATATTACATTGTTGTCATGTCTCCTTTGGCTCCTGTTGACTGTGGCAGTTTCACAGAATTTCTTTGTTTTGATGACCTTGACAGTATTGAGGAGTACCACTCAGGTATTTTGTAGACTGTGCCTCAGTTGGAATTTGTCTGATGGCTTTTCTCATGATTAGACTGGGTTATGGGTGTTTGGGAGGAAGACCATTTTTATCATGTCATGTCAAGGCCTTGATCAGCTGGCCAAGGTAATGTTTGCCAGGTTTCTGCTCTGTAAACTTACTTTTTCCACTTTATATACCACAGTTAAGAAGGGTTGGGAAAAATTAAGTTCTACTTCCTGGAGGGTGAGAAGCTACATAAATTATTTAGCATTCTTCTGTAGGAATTCTGTAGGAAGAATTATTTGTTTCTCAGATTGTTTCAGCTTTGGGGTGCCTGGGTGGCTCAGTCGGTTAAGCATCTGCCTTCGGCTCAGGTCGTGATCCCAGGGTCCTGGGATTGAGCCCCGCATCAGGGAGCCTGCTTCTCCCTCTCCTCCCCACTCATGCTCTCTCTCTCTGTCTCTGTTACTATCTCTGTCTCTCTCTGTCAAATAAAATAAATAAAACCTTAAAAAAAAAGACTGACAGACTTAAAAAAAAAAAAAAAGACTGTTTCAGCTTTGTCCCCTGGAAGCTCCATGTTGGTGCCCATGTCCCTTTGGCATGCCCCCACTGTTGTGTTTTTTGTGCACTTTCCTTACTTTCTTACACTACAGGATGCCTATTTTGTATATTCCCTGCCTTAGCCGTTGGAGAATCAGTCATCCAAAGAGCTGTGGTTCCTTTTAGTAAATCAAGATGTCTTCCAGAATATGAAAGGTCTAATAGATTGTAGTAGCCAATAAAAACTCATTTGGAAGGGTATGTATGTGTAGGAGGTGGTTAACAAGACCAAAGAAGAAGAGAAAGCCGGAAGGGTCATAATCCAATTTTCTGCTGAATGATAGTTCACGATTGGAGGTAATTTAACAGCATAAACTAAGATTTAGAAACCTTAGGTTTAAATGCCAACTCTGACATTATTTTAGTTGTGTGTCTGTGAACCTCAATTTCCTCATCTGTAATATGGGTATAATTACTTCATGAGGTTGTTGGGATGATGATTAACTAATAGAGAGCACATGCTCTGCTGTGCCTGGCACGAGTAAGTATTCATATGTTAGCTATCATTACTAGTCTCATTTCTGTACTCATCTGAACTAGCTACTATAATGTCACGAACAGCTATGAACCCTCACCATTTTTGTTTGATGCCTCTGTTACTCAGCTTCCCTTGTATTTCTTTCCCTAGGAATCTTTTTGATGTGACCTGGTGCGTGTTTTCCTTTGAGATCGTCACCAAGATGCTGCAAGTGGCGTCACTGCCTCGTACTGGAGAAGCACGTGGGGGTCTGTATGCAGATGACAGTTCTAGGGACCTTTGGCTTTAAGTAGCTATCTCTTCCCCAGACCCATATTCAGGTTCAGTCTACTCTTGAGTCTTTATCAATCTTTTTCTTCAAGACCATAAAAAATCGGTGCTGGGTATTAAGGAGGGCATGTACTGCATGGAGCACTGGGTGTTATACGAAAACAATGAATCGTGGCTCACTACATCAAAAAAAATAAAATAATTTGCAAGAAGCAAAAATAAAAAAATCATGTTGTTCAAATATGAAAAGTGAACTGAACACCAAATCTCTTTTTTTATAGATTTTATTTATTTATTTGAGAGAGAGAGAGTGTGTGCGCACATGAGCGGGGGGAGGGGCAGAGGGAGAGGGAGAAGCACACTCCTCGCTGAGCAGAGAGCCTGACATGGGGCTTGATCCCAGGATGCCGGGACTGTGACCTGAGCTGAAGGCAGATGCTTAACCTACTGAGCCACCCAGGCACCCCCCCAAATCTCTTTTTGTTAATAGAATTAAAATGTTTTATTATCTTCCTAGCAAATTTAGTGCCTCCTTAACTGTTAGGGGAGCTCTTTAAAGTGAATCCTTTAAGAAGAAATTATCTTCCTTTTGTTCATGTGATTCTTATCCTAAAGAGTCTTCCTATTTCACTATGGGTGATGTCTAAAATCTTCCTCCTGAGTGTCAGCACCCCCTATAAGATTGCCATATTTTTTATACCTGTGAACCTTCTCCCATGATTTTCATGCATGATATGTTCTTTTCTCATCATTTTCTTCACTAGACTATGATTCAAATAACTTCAAACTCCACCTAGAGTAATACGAGGAGTGCTAATACCTCCCTATCTACTGCCTTTTGAACACTGCGGTTTATCCCCTAGAATGTACTGGCCCTTGATATGTGTATGGTATAAATACTCAAAGTGTTGAACATTTGATTATGTTCCTACATATCTTCTAAATATTTGTATTAATGCTGTCATCTTCCTAAAGAACGTGTATGTAAATACCCCAGTCAAGATAGGACTAAGTATCTGCTTATTGATAAACAGGAGGAAGATAAACACTCTAATAGCTCTGGACTATAGTCATCTACAAATTTGAGTAAGGGGACTTCTTAAATCTGAGGTAGTCGGTTTCACTGTGCTTTCTTTAGTCCCTTGGCTGTGATTATAGGAAATTAACTCCCGACTCAGTCCAAAGCTGGGTATTCCCTCAAGGAAATTGCTATTTCTGATTCTTAGAACATGGAACCTTTTTTATGGTTGGCTACTTGGGGTCCATAATATCAAGCAGTGTCTAATCTTTCTGTAGAGATTGACTCTTTTACATTGCCATTCCCAGTTCATGCTGTGCTACCTTCCATGGCTGTGATTGGAATCCTCATAGCTGCTCTGAGAAAAAAAATCCAGAGATAGATGGAGTAGCAGATTGGTGCCAAATATACTTTGAGAATAACAGGTGAGTGCCGGGGAGGTATATCTTTTGACAACTCGGAGTGACTTTCTACAATAAAGTCAGAAAATATCCTTTTCTCCAAAAACAAAATAAGACCAACTCTATCTCTTGCCTTCATCATCTCACTATACAAAGTACTGCTCTTATATTGATGATTTTACTCAGAATTTGAGTGATAACAATGTAGGAAGTTATTTGCATGAAATTGCGTGTGGGGAGGGGATGAGGTAGGAAGTCAAGGTCTGGAACCAATACAGGAAGATAATAAAGTGGTAGAAATAAAAGTATGGGACTTTGGGAATTTAAAACTGTTTAAAGATGTGTATTGCTTGCATTAAAATAAAAGGAAAATGATGTGAGAAATGTTAAGTAGAAGTGAAAACTCGTGAAAGATGAGTCATCCTCATTTCCTACAGAATAAAGTGCGGAAGAATTTCTTTTTCTTCTTTTCAGAATACGCAACTGGAAAAGAATTGGGAAAATCTAGGTAGTCGTTTTTTCTTTTGCTTTGCTATGGCTGTGTCCCATTTGATAGTACTGCTGTTGTTCCTCATTTCATTTCTTTATGCCTCTTATAGCTGAAACTGTTTCACATCACTGATAGGGTAATTCTGAAGAAGGCTGGTTCATTTCCTGTTAAATGTTGTATCAGAACTGGGGGCATTTTGCATGTACACCAAATAATAGGATCTTTCCTGGAGAAGAATCTCCATCTTCATGGGAGCAGGGAAATAGAGGCGAAGAAGCACTGTCATTATCCTTAGCAAATTATCAATGTCCAGTGGAAATATAAGGCTACCAGGGTTTCTGTGAGGAAACCTGGCAGTTAGCCAAGCTAGAGTGGCAAACGTGGGTTCGATATGTAGAAACTCACTTTGCGGGGCGCCTGGGGAATTGGGGTGGTTAGACCTAAAAATTACAGGGTTTTTTTGTGATGTGATAAAAATATTTTGAGGCACCTGGGTGGCTCAGTCAGTTAAGCGTCTGCCTTTGGCTCAGGTCAGGATCCCGGGGTCCTGGGATTGAGCCCTGCGTTGGGCTCCTTGCTCAGCAGGGAGCCTGCTTTTCCCTCTGCCTGCTGCTCCCCCTGCTTGTGCTCTCTCTCTCTTGCTGTCTCTCTCCGACAAATAAATAAAATCTTTTTTTTTAATTTTATTATGTTATGTTAGTCACCATACATTACATCATTAGTTTTTGATGTAGTGATCCACGATCCATTGTTTTCATATAACACCCAGTGCTCCATGCAGTATGTGCCCTCCGTAATACCCATCACCGGGCTAACCAATCCCCCCTCCCCCCTCACCTCTAAAACCCTGTTTGTTTCTCAGGTCCATAATCTCTCATGGTTCATCTCTCCCTCCAATTCCCCCCCCCCATTTTACCCTTCCTTCTCCTAATGTCCTCCATATTATTCCTCATGTTCCACAAATAAGTGAAACCATATGATAATTGACTTTCTCTGCTTGACTTATTTCACTTAGCATAATCTCCTCCAGTCCCATCCATGTTGATGTAAAAGTTGGGTATTCATCTTTTCTGATGGCTGAGTAATATTCCATTGTATATATGGAACACATCTTTATCCATTCATCTGTTGAAGGGCATCTCGGCTCTTTCCACAGTTTGGCTATTGTGGACATTGCTGCTATGAACATTGGGGTGCATGTGGCCCTTCTTTTCACTACATCTGTGTCTTTGGGGTAAATACCCAGTAGTGCAATTGCTGGGTCATAGGGTAGCTCTATTTTTAATTTTTTGAGGAACCTCCACACTGTTTTCCAAAGTGGCTGTACCAACTTGCATTCCCACCAACAGTGTAAGAGGGTTCCCCTTTCTCCACAACCTCTCCAACATTTGTTGTTTCTTTCCCTGTCCATTTTTGCCATTCTAAGTGGTGTAAGGTGGTATCTCATGTGGTTTTGATTTGGATTTCCCTGATGGCTAATGATGATGAACATTTTTTCATGTGTCTGTTAGCCATTTGTATGTCTTTTTCAGAGAAGTGTCTGTTCATCTCTTCTGCCCACTTTTTGACTTGATTATTTGTTTTTTTGGGTGTTGGGTTTGAGGAATTCTTTATAGATCTTGGATACCAGCCCTTTATCTGTAGTGTCATTTGCAAATATCTTCTCCCATTCTGTGGGTTGCCTCTTTGTTTGGTTGACTGTTTCCTTTGCTGTGCAGAAGCTTTTTATCTTGATGAAGTCCCCAAAGTTCATTTTTGCTTTTGTTTCACTAGCTTTTGGAGATGTATCTTGAAAGAAGTTGCTGTGGCCGATGTCAAAGAGGTTACCGCCTATGTTCTCCTCTAGGATTTTGATGGATTCCTGTCTCACATTGAGGTCTTTCATCCACTTTGAGTTTATCTTTGTGAATGGTGTTAGAGAATGGTTGAGTTTCATTCTTCTGCATGTGGCTGTCCAATTTTCCCAGCACCATTTATTGAAGAGACTGTCTTTTTTCCATTGCATGTTTTTTCCTGCTTTGTCAAAGATTATTTGACCATAGAGTTGAGGGTCCATGTCTGGGTTCTGTATTCTGTTCCATTGGTCTGTATGTCTGTTTTTGTGCCAGTACCATGCTGTCTTGGTGATCACAGCTTTGTAATATAGCTTGAAATCGGGCAACGTGATGCCCCCAGCTTTGTTTTTCTTTTTCAACATCTCCTTGGTGATTCGGGGTCTTTTCTGATTCCATACAAATTTTAGGATTGTTTGTTCCAGCACTTTGAAAATTGTCATTGGAATTTTGATCAGGATGGCATTGAAGGTATAGATTGCTCTGGGTAGCATAGACATTTTAACAATGTTTATTCTTCTGATCCGTGAGCATGGAATATTTTTCCACCTTTTTGTGTCTTCTTCAATTTCTTTCATGAGTGTTTTGTAGTTCCTAGAGTATAGATCCTTTACCTCTTTGGTTAGGTTTATTCCGAGGTATCTTATGGTTTTTGGTGCTATTGTAAATGGAATCGTTTCTTTAATTTCTCTTTCAACAGTTGTGTTGTTAGTGTATAAGAAAGCAACTGATTTCTGTGCATTGATTTTGTATCCTGCCACATTACTGAATTGCTGGATGAGTTCTAGTAATTTGGGGGTGGAGTCTTTTGGGTTTTCCACATAAAGTATCATGTCGTCTGCAAAGAGAGAGAGTTTGACTTCTTCTTTGCCAATTTGAATACCTTTTATTTCTTTTTGTTGTCTGATTGCTGTTGCTAGGACTTCTAGTACTATGTTGAACAACAGTGGTGAGAGTGGGCATCCTTGACGTGTTCCTGATCTTAAGGGAAAGGCTCTCAGCTTTTCCCCATTGAGGATGATATTCGCTGTGGGTTTTTCATAGATGGATTTTATGAACTTGAGGAATGTTCCCTCTATCCCTGTACTCTGGAGAGTTTCAATCAGGAAAGGATGTTGTATTTTGTCAAATGCTTTTTCTGCATCAATTGAGAGGACCATATGATTCTCCCTCCTCTTATTAATGTGTTCTATCACATTGATTTGTGAATGTTGAACCACCCTTGCATCCCGGGGATAAATCCCACTTGGTCGTGGTGGATGATCCTTTTAATATATTGTTGGATCCTATTAGCTAGGATTTTGTTGAGGATTTTGGAATCCATATTCATCAGGGATATCGGTCTGAAATTCTCCTTTTTGATGGGGTCTTTGCCTGGTTTGGGGATTAAGGTAATGCTGCCCTCATAGAATGAGTTTGGAAGTTTTTCTTCTGTTTCTGTTTTTTGAAACAGCTTCAGGAGAATAGGTATTATTTCTTCTTTGAATGTTTGGTAGAATTCCCCAGGGAATCCATCAGGCCCTGGACTCTTGTTTTTTTGGGAGGTTTTTGATCACTGCTTCAATCTCGTTAGTGGTTATTGGCCTATTCAGGTTGTCAGTTTCTTCCTGTTTCAGTCTTGGCAGCTTACAGGTTTCCAGGAAGGCCTCCATTTCATCCAGATTGCTCAGTTTATTGGCATATAGTTGTTGATAATAATTTCTAATAATTGTTTCTATTTCCTTGGTGTTAGTCGTGATCTCTCCCCTTTCATTCATAATTTTATTAATTTGGGTCCTTTCTCTTTTCTTTTGGATAAGTCTGGCCAGTGGTTTATCAATCTTATTAATTCTTTCAAAGAACTAACTTCTAGTTTCGTTGATCTGATTTACTGTGTTTCTGGTTTCTAATTCATTGATTTCTGCTCTAATTTTAATTATTTCTCTTCTAGTGCGTGGCTTAGGCGTCGTTTGTTGCTTTTTCTCTAGTTCTTTAAGGTGTAGAGTTAGTTGGTGAATTCGGGATGTTTCTGTTTTTTTGAGTGAGGGTTGGATGGCTATGTATTTCCCCCTTAGGACCGCCTTTGCAGTATCCCATAGGTTTTGGACTGATGTGTTTTCGTTCTCATTGATTTCCATGAATTGTTTAAGTTCTTCTTTGATTTCTTGGTTGACCCAAACATTCTTGAGCAGAGTGGTCTTTAGCTTCCAAGTGTTTGAATTTCTGCCAAATTTTTTCCTGTGATTGAGTTCCAGTTTTAGAGCATTGTGGTCTGAGGATATGCAGGGAATAATCTCAATCTTTTGGTATCGGTTGAGACCTGATTTGTGACCCAGTATATGGTCTATTCTGGAGAAAGTTCCATGTGCGCTCGAGAAGAATGAGTATTCTGTTGTTTTAGGGTGGAATGTTCTGTAAATATGTATGAGGTCCATCTGGTCCAATGTATCATTCAAAGCTCTTGTTTCCTTGTTGATTTTCTGCTTAGATGATCTGTCCATTGCTGAGACTGGAGTATTGAGGTCTCCTACAATTAACGCATTGTTATCAATATGTCTCTTTATTTTGGTTAACAGTTGGCTTATGTAGATGGCTGC